GGATAAATAGTTTTGGATTACTGAGGTGATGTAGTGTGGAGTGCCTATTTTCTTTAATTTATATATTAGTGCCTGGTGGCAGACTAGCAAATGCCTGTGTAATGTCGACTGATACATGGTACTGAGTGATGTTTTTTTCTGAAATGCTAAGTTGAGATATTCTATAATTCTGATGATTTGGTGTTGTGTGGACATATGTTCAGTGAATCCAAATTGCTCTCTTAGCATTGCTTTTGTTAATTGTAGGTGCTTTTTAAGTCGTTGGAGTCTACGTTTTCGACGATTTTGGACAGAGATGGTAGAAAACATATTGGGCGATAGCCGTCTGTGTTTGGTGAATTTTTATTTGGTTTCGGCACCGGAAGAATAATGGCATGCTTCCAAGTGGATGGAAAATGATTCGTTCTGAAACATGAATTGTGTATATTTTTACGTATGCAATTGCAGGGACTGATATGTGTTTTAGGATGGAAATATTTATATTATCGTGACCTGGCAATTTTTTTATCTGGAGAGAGTTAATGATTTGTTTTATTTCTTTAGGGTTTGTGAAATGAATTTTGTGGTGTGAGTGGTAGTTCAGAAGGTTTATTGACTGTGTTATCGTGTTGGGTTCCGGGTGCAGTTTAGATTGGGTGAGGGTGAAAGTCGACTCAAAATAATTGGCTATTTCCCCTGCCTTGTCGGATGGGGTGAATAATTTACCTTTAGGTATGTTGATAGGTGGAATTATTGTGTTTTTTAGTATTTGATTTGTGAATTTCAATATAGGGTTGTTTTGTGTTGTTAAAGATTTATCTTGTTCTGGAATTTGAGATTTATGACTTTTTATTGATTTTTTAACTATATTAGTTAATATGTTTAGTTCTGATTTCATTTGTGGGTCTTTAGTTAGGTTGCAGGAGATGATAAATATTGTTGTGCGTTTGTGTGTGTGTGGGCTGAGTTGCTGTTATTGTTGTATGTATTATGGTGTTTAGTAATATTACAGGCGTTCTCCATTTCTACAGAACTATTAACATTTTTATTTAAAAATAAATCACGGAGGTGGGATTTGTTGTGTAAATATATTTACCAGAATGTGGTCAGAATCGAGTTCGTGATAAGGGGTTGAGTAGAAATTAATATTTCCGTCTGGTGTTGTTTAAAAATTGTGATAGTATTTTTCCTGCTGGGTTACTAGTTCGACATCCCCAGTGTGTTTTTAGCTTTTTGATCATCTAGTGCTAATGTTTGTTTTTTATTTGGGGTGAGTAGATTAAGTAAATTCAGAGGTTGTAATTTTATTCTGGGAGATTTATAGGCAGCATATTCTACAAATTATTGTTCATTGTTTAAAGTAAAGGATTGGAGCTGATTTTTAGATAAACTTGTTTATGATATTTTTTAATATTGTACGCAATATTGCGTGAAAACTACTAATTTTCTTTTAAAAAATGTGCATGACCTAATTAAATAATTACGGAGAAAAATATTACTAGGAACTTCTCTTTATCTTCAATTTTGTTCTAGTAGAAAGACGCCGAAGAAATCAAACTTTTGCAGTTTTCTAAAAGAATGAAAATGGGACCTATACCTGTCATTTTTATAAGTGAATCTTTTTAAAGAATAGAGTAAAATAAATATATAAACAAATTGTAGCCATTGTTTAGAAAAATTTGAAAATTTCTCAGACTTCATGTAACGCGCCCCAAAAATTAATGAATATTTTTCGAAGTTTTGGGTCCTGGCGGATCGACCGCGGAATGTCCATTTCGAAAAAAAAATTCTACATTAGATTTAGGCAGTTTAGATGGTTTCCAAACACTCGGACGTTTTGGAAAAAAACACCTTTTCGGTATCAGGGTCACCAAAAAGTATAATTCCATTAAAATCTCTAAATCTATTTTCCGCAGAATTACATATTACGAATATGTGTATTCCTTATTACGTATATTACTCCGTATGTATGTTCGTATTCGAGAAAGGAACAATTTAGAGCTCTGAAAACCGTACAAAAAAACAACTAATGCACCACATACATAGTAAACCAGGGAGAGTTGCAAAAAGTGACACCGGGAGCGTGGTAGTCAGGATGAATTCTGTACCGAAAAATTCATTTGTGTTACAAATTACTGCGAGGCTGGTGAGACATATTTCACTTTTCTGTGGCGACAAAAAATGTTGAAAAACTGAGGATGTAAAACTGTCTTTAATTTTCTGCTACGTTCACCATTCAACTTGTAGTTGCTGACTGCAGATACTATTGTACGCTATGGAGCGCATAGGGAAAGCCACGGGAGCAGTTCTCTCCTAAACATTTTCACTTAGGACCCACAGTCGTGCATTATGAAATATTTTATTTCCGTAAATATTTCCATTCCCTTATTTTGCCGTTTTTAAACTGAAAATTATAGATGTGTTAAATTTTCTTTCATTGGGGTCGTGTCAATACTCGCTGAGGTCTTTAGAGACTAATACTATTTTAAGCATAAGTAACATTTTAAAAATTATAATAGACTAATTAATTACAATAATGTTTCATAGCCATTTAAATTAATTTGTGAGACAGAGTAAACGAGGGAATTTGGTGTTCGGCATTTCGGGAAGAGGATCTACAGGTCTGTCAACCTTGTAAATAGTTTAATATAATGACAGTTATATTTATTACTGGTATTAATTAAAGTTATTATTTAATTTTCTTTGTAATATACTTGATTATTACTTGGAAAATATGTAATATGTAAATACAAGAAGGTTCTATGAAAAAAGGGAGTGCAGAAATATAGTTACCGTCTCCCCACCTGTTGTAGACTGTGCACACCTGTGTCTGGAACAGAAGAAATACTGTTAAAGTATGAGTAATGCAGAATCTTGTGACGAAATATAAATTTTATTCTCACAAAAATATTTTAGTTGTAAAAAACTGCTTATACCCTCAGGAGAGAAATGAATTTTTCGTACTGCATTTCCACCCCCATACCCGAGCTTAAAACTTTCCTCTCGGAAAATCATGTGTTTCACTTCCTGTACAAATGATCTAGTACTGGTGATTACTTGAAGTTAATAAATATTTAATAATGAAGTATAATTTTATAATTAAAAAATATATAATCAAATAACAAGATGTACCAAATTCTTAGTTATTGATTTTCACTCTCAAACTATTTTTAGTGCGTGGTTCATCGCATTTTGTGTACAGCTTCTGTCGGCCCTGGTTTCCTTGAGAACGTGCTCGATCAGCGGCCAGCGATCCTCCGCCGCCTCCAACAGCAGCTTCCACGCGCTCTGCGAACTTCCAGCCGCCTTCGCGTCACGCAGCGCCGCTGCTCGCTCCTTTGTTTATCGCTCCCGGCAGGGGTTTCGGGGGCGCTTTATTTCTCCGCCCCGGAAGTCATGGAACTGTGTCGAGATGATGCGGAACTTCGAGCAATGGTGGAAATAACTCGTTTTGTTTCGAAAATTAACGTTCTTGGGAAATTATTTGTTTTATGATTTCTCCGCAACTTGCCTACGCATGTTCTTGCTTTAAATTTCATATTGTCGTATTCTACAGTAAATAATTACTACTGTCTGGTGGGGTTGCGAGTTTCAATTTCGTGCAAAGTAAGCGAGTTCTCTGCTTTTGACTGTGTCGAGGCCGGCAACGATGAAACACAGTTCAAGAGCTTATTTCCCAAATGACATATCTCTAAAATATCTTCTGCAAAGTGTGGTATTCAAATTCACCCGGATAGTTTAAGGTTGAATTCAATGGTTTTCGGATACCATTTAACATAAAACAAATGATATTTCGCATACAATAATTAGGACCACGATGGAAACTCATATTAAGAATGTATTTATATACACAACAAAAGAACAAAGTGAAATGAAAATGACTGACTTTGGAAAGTAGCACTTCTATTGCCTCCCACATTTTTTATTATTATCTTTCTCTACCGACATTCAGCGTCGAGTTCTCTAGACGGGTACATCTTCTCAAGAATATGTCAAGTGAAATCACACTTTCTAATCTTCTGTTTGTAGCCTTTCAAATCTTCTGTTTGTAGCCTTGATTTTTGCAGAGTGTATGCCTTTGGGTTTGTTATTGTTGCTATAACCTTACAGTATATACAATATTACTATAATTTATTATGGCTGTCTGGTGTTCACTATTTAAACAGACAGTCGATTATTTCTTACTTTTACTTTTGTCGCAAAATTACATCAAAAATACTCATTTTTCTTCAAAATTGATCATGACCTTACTTGAAGATCAATTTCTGATAAACGTGTTCCATTCAGAAAAAAGGTATTTTGACAATTATAGTAGGAAAACGCCGAAATGTTTTAAAGGTCTTTTTTAAATTGTCGCAAAATCACGCATTTCAATGAACACGAGACATGCACCATTCTCTGAAGCGTCTTTCATGCTAACTTCTCGTTTAAATCAAAATTTAAATTTATTTCTATTTAAAATTTAAAAATTGTCTATGATTGACGCCAAATTCCGCAAAAACGCTCACATTTTCAAAATATTGAAAATGAGTTTATTTGAGATTTTTTTTTGTAATGAACTCATTTCATTAAGAAAAAATATATCTTCGTAATTGTAATTGTAATTGTTATTGTAATTGTAATTGTAGGAAGGTGCCGAAAAATTTCCTTTCCATCTATTCCAGAAAAAACGCGGAAATTAACAGACGTGCCTAATTTGGCTTCTTTGCCCATGTAATAGATTAAGCTTAGTTCGTAAGTTAGTAATTAGCAACCAACGCATGTGAATAGTATAACGTTTTACTTATTCACGTTCTTATCAACAAGACAATAAACAGAAAAAAGTACGAAGTAAAGCAAGGAAGTACAAATGTTTTGCAGTCATTGTACTCAGGAGATGTGACTGCAATGGAGTCGATTGTGAGACTGATAATAATAGGTAATTGACTGTTTGATTTGTGGTATCGCACCGCCTCCTCCCCCGCTAGTTGACTATGCTCTGAAAGTGCTGCTGTAACGTGGCGGGTGCCCTGCTGCCCACAGGCTGCCTGCCCAACGAGTACCGCTGCAGCAACTCGTGCGTGGCGCTGGTGAAGCGCTGCGACCGGTACATCGACTGCCCCGACGGCGCCGACGAGGTCGGCTGCGGTGAGTTCGCCCCCTCCACCCCCACTCTCTCTCTCTTTCTACAGCTTAGGTTTCGAATCTCTGTGCGTAAATTAGATGCATTATTGGAGGGATATTTTATTGTGGAGGTGTGGGTGAACAGTAAGACGTTTTTTGAGACTGATTCGCACAGTAGGACTAAAAAATGAGGATGTTCGCACACGTAAGACAGTCAGTGGAGCACTCGCACCATACGTCGAAGCTCCTTCGTTTCGTCACCTCACAACCCCATTGCCGCTTTTCTTACCGCCATTTCACAACCCTTTTCACAACTTTCGTTCTTCACTTCTTCCTCACTTTTTTATTCCTCTTGTTTCCACACATCTCTTTCCACAAGAACCATTCCTTCTTTTTGTTTCAGTCTTTACCTCTACCTTTCCAGTTATCCCGCCAACCTCTTTTTTTATCCCTCGTTTTTTAATCTCTTCACCACTCCAAATCACTATTCCACTTCTTCTTTGCTTCGATATTTACCTCTCCTATTCTGTAACCTTCATTGTCCCTTTCTTCTCCTCTTTTTTGCCGTCCTCTCTCCAAATCTTAGCATGCTCACAACTCCCAATACCTGTTCTGTTTCCTATCTTCTTCAATCGCGTCTTACTACAAAATTCGTTCTAATTTCTCTCCGATCATTTTATCTCCTCTGCAATCCTCAAATCCTTTCCTCGAACTCCATTCCTTTTATTCCTTCATTTTTTCACCACATTATTTCTTCAACAACCTCCATGTTCTCTTCGCCTTTCCCTTTTGGTCCTTTCTAATTTAACCTCCATCTTCCCTCTTTTTCATGAGCACTCTTCTTTCTTCTAGCTGACGTTATCTCCCTCTATCATTTTCACCCTCTTTGCTTGCTCTTCCTTTCCCTCCCTTGGCTCTTCCCTGTTACCTTTGTCCGGAAAGTCCTTTCTCTTCTCATATATCTGTAACATTCAAGCCAACTAGACGCTAATGACTTGTTTTGATGCCATTCCGAAAGGTAAACCATTGTTTCCTTCCCAACGTAATATCTGTTCTCTCTCAAAAAACGAGAATAATTTATAAAATAGTTTAATAATAAAAAGTATTACAAACGCGAATACTTTTTACTTTCTGGATTAGTCTGCATTTATGTTTTCTCTCTTTCTCTTTCCGTTTCTTTCTTTCTTTCTTTCTTTCACTTTCTATCTTTCTTCTTCTCGCTCTTTCTTCTTCCCGCTCTTTCTTCTTCCCGCTCTTTCTTTCTCTCCCTCTCTTTCTTTCTTTCTCTCCCTCTCTTTCTTTCTTTCTCTCCCTCTCTTTCTTTCTCTTTCTCTCTTTCTTTTTCTCTCTCTGTCTCTCTTTCTTTTTCTCTCTCTGTCTCTCTCTCTTTCTTTTTCTCTCTCTGTCTCTCTCTCTCTCTTTCTTTCTCTCGTTTTCTTTCATTTCACTTCCGTGTTCCCATGTGCCATTTTATGCTTATCCAGCATTTTATACGCAAACCTCACAAGTAATGTCACTCATCACTAAAAGCATTTTAAATCATGCTTTACATGCCGTGTAGATGCTCTAAAAGAACTTACGGCTCTAGAAACACAGCAAATTTAAGATTGGACTCACAAGTTTTTGTTTAATTATATGATTTATTTTAAGTGATGTCATAACAACGGTGCTCGTTGTTATATAATAAGTTTACCTGTTTTCTATTACCTTCTCTATTCTATGGTTCCCCACAGCTGAATGTAATGCTGACTGTTTTCAGAGACATTTGTGTGTCCCTCGACGCACTTCAAATGCAGCAACCACTTTTGCATTCCGGGTGACAAAACGTGCAACTTCGAAGACGACTGCGGAGACAACTCGGACGAAATGACTTGCTGTGAGTTAAAATTGCATATTAAATAATAAAAAATGTACTTAATTAAATAAAGCAATTTAATAAATATGCTTGGCCATTTCTAGATTTGTACATTACCTGTATTATCTTTTTCGAAACGCGCGTGTTGTAAGAATTGTTTTTGAGCAGATATTCATTTCCCATTTGCAAAGTAAAACAAATCGGTATTGATTTCAATTGAAACAAAAACGTAGTTAGTGAATCATTAGTACTAATGTAAGTGAATTCAACAGTATGTAGCCGACATCCATACTCCAAAAAAATATTTTTACAGACAGATCTTTAGGAATATCACAGGTCACATCCTTGCAAAATTTGGTAAGGGTTATTACAGCATATCTCCAGAAAATATTTACTTTAAATAATTTGTTGGTGGATGTAGATGCGCCACAATCATTATTTTTCGAATGTCCCTAAGAGCAGACTGATTCCAAATGTATTCCTCCGGAGGCCAGTAGCGGTGCTTCAGAACTGTAATAAGAAAATAATTAAAGACGTTGTCATTGCCAACAATGCTATTGCATTAAATAATATTGTTGGCAATGACAACGTCTTTAATTATTTTATGAAAAATGCCAAAGATATCACACCACAACACCTATACAGTAATAAGAATCTAAGATTTTTAAATTCTGAAAGTGAAAACAATAAATAAACAAAAGAGCTTGTTTAACGTGTGTTGATACATATATAATGAATAAAATATTTTCACTTATGTAAAATTATTGAAACATATTTTATCAGAACGTTGAAAATTTCTTTGAAAAATGTACTTGAAGAAACACGGGAGAAAACAGAGCAGCCCAAAACCTAACAGCAATGTATTGTAAAATAAAATGATAGAAAATATTGATTTTATTGAAATTTCAACCAATTATATTAAAAATAATGATCTTAAACTCCATGGTATACATTTAATTGATCGTTTTCGTCTTTCACAACGATTAGATATGAAGAAAGCCAGGACAACGCCGGGTATTTTGCTAGTTTTTATTAATATAGGAATATGCAGAATACATTAAACTATGACATCGTGTATCTCTTCCTGCATCGGTAAGCAGAGATACTAGGCAGGTGTAGCAGTTGTTTGGCTCTGTGGCGTATTATTTTGTTGTAAGAATAAATGTGAAATTTCTTCGTTTCATGATGGGACATATATTTCAAATGCATTTGTTATCTCGAACCAGATAGGTATACATGCATTTTTCAGTTAAGAGTGTATTCAAGAAATGGAATCCGGATCCCAGTGGATGTGCTCTAAAACCGAAATCCACTGTCATAACTGTAAGCAGAACTTTCATAAAATATTAACTCTCTGCGAAGAAAGTGCATTAAGATACGAGTTGAGTGAAGGTGCATTATGTTAAAACTTCCACTTAAAAGAAAGATTGCCTTCGTAACAAAATATAAGAAATAAGATTATCTGTATAAACTGATGTTGAAATCGTAATGTACGTTAAAGATTTGAGTGTCACACAACCACCTTCAAAACAACCGTTAGGGTTGACTTCTTGGCTGCCCGGGAGACGCCGCGTCGTTGGCCGAGAGGCCGACGTTTCGCCTGTCATGTCGCAGGCTTCTTCAGGGTAACGAAGCGGCTTCTCCCGGGCAGCCAAGAAGTCATGAACTCGAGCCGCGTGTGCAACCGTTAGGCTTAATACTTGGAAATAGGTTTAAGAATGTTTGTCATGTTGTAGACCTAGTTTAATTCTTGTTGTGATTGTGAAGTTTAACTGCAAAGTATCATATAGTTTTTAATTTCGTATTGGGGAGGAAGTTGATTGGAGGGGAAGTATCTTTAGAAGTCCAGCTAAAACAATCTCAGAGGCATAATGTAATTTCTTACCGAGTTGTCAGGAGCCACAAACCTCTCCTGCTGAGCGGTGGGTGATGTTGCAGCGCACCGCCAGTGCTGGAAGACGGAGTTCAAGTGCGACAACGGCGAGTGTATCCGGCCGGGCTTCGTGTGCGACGGCACCAACGACTGCCACGACCACAGCGACGAGCTCAACTGCGGCCCCGGTAGGTGCGCCCCAGCCGGCCTTCTCCCTCTCCCTTCTCCCTTCGACGCAACTCCCTCCCCTCCTCCCTCCACTACCCTCCAGAACTTTTACTTTCCCTTTTATACGGAGTGATATACGTAGTATAGTGATAGGACCGTAATGCTGCGGAAAATTGATTTTGAAATTTCAACAGAAATAGACGTTTGTTGTCCCCTGATACCGAAGAACTGATTTTTTTAAACTTTATTTTCAAAACGTCTGGTCATCTGTCTATCAGTCCGTGTGTGAACACCACTAGCGCCCAAACCATTCGTACTATATTTTCCAAAATGGATGGCGATTTTCAAAAACATTCTTTAAAATTTGGGGTACGTTCCATGAAAACCACCATGACATTTCCGATATTTTCTCAGAAAGCGCTTCAATTTTTTTCTCTAAATTTCTTGTAAGAATAGAGTAGAATACACTTTTAAAGGTGGCTTAGGTCCGATTATCACGGTTATCTCTAAATTTTAGAAAATTGCAAATGTTTGATTTTTTTTCCACGTCTTTCTTCAACTACAAAATTAAAGGTATAGCTTTTTCCTTCATATAAAATTTGTCGTTCATAGATAGTTCTTTCATTTAGATCAGGTACAGGATTTTCAAAAATTTTAGTGATTTTGATGCAATATTTGCAATTTGAAAAAAACATGATTTTCTCAAAAAAAATTTTTTACACTTTTGGTAGGTACAGTGCTAAATGCACTCTATAAGATGACATAAACGCTATATTGATCTATCGTTTTGCATTTCAAAAAATTACAAAAATGTAATTTTTGTACTTGACTCTCGCGTCGTTAATATTTACATTAGCAGCAATTTGCACATATGATTATATTTATGAGTACATGTGCTTCTAATTCATATAAAGTTTCTCGAAAACTTAACCGTTTTGTGTCCAAACTGCCTGAAAATTCCGCATTTTCAGAAACGCTCAAACGCCATTTTCTAAAAATGGATCTCAATGTTTTCTTCAAACTTTTCGAACGGATAATACTAATACTATTTATATGAGTGTTAAAATGACTTCAAATGAAGTTTTTTCAAATATTTTCTGTGAAAAGAGCTTCATATTTCAAATTTCACAGTCTCTTAAAAACAGCTCCAACTTTTCCAAAAAAATTGCCATTTATGACAAGGTTTTACTCTTCTTTAATATTCTTAAAATAATATTTCCGTTCTACAGTTAGGAAACCATATTTTTAAATGTACTTTGGTCGGCGATAGATGGCAGCTGGCAAGAGCATGTGGCAAGTTCGTATAACTAGCCGAGACCAAAGTAAATAGAAATACGGGAAAGTCTGTGCTATTCTGTAGCACCTCTAGTTTTTTTCTTGACCCATCTTCCAGTCACATTCTCGATACCGCGGCATCTCATTTTCAGCCCCCTCCTCCTCAACCCTCTTTCTTCTCTTTCCCCCTCTTCCTCTCTCCATCCATTTCTCTCCGCCGTCTCATATATCCCTTCCTCATCCCTCTCAACCTCTATCTCTCGTCCTCATCTCCCTTCCTCTTCTCTTACCTCTCCCTCTTCCCTGCTCTTCCTCCTTCCCCACACCATTTCTCATCTCTTCTGCTGCGGCGCAGGTGTGCCTGGTGTCAGCGCCTTGCAGTACGTCTTCCTTCCTGAGAGAGGAAGGCTGCGCTTGTAGAGCAGTTGAATGCTGTATCGATTGCCGGGAGGACGCTCAGCCTCTTTTTACTCGTTTTCTCCTTTTTATCTTTCTGCATTTAATATTGGTTAAATTATTATATTCTACTTCAACTTGAACCTCTTTTACATTGAAAACTTGTGGTGCTACATCAGTACAATTTCCAAGCGTTATTTCTAAATTGGCGACTTCTATCCTTGGAAAAAGTTTAAAGAAAACATTTGCAGCCTTTTTTGAGGAAATTATTTTTTATATATTCCGTTAATTTGAAGCCCAAATTACGCGAATACTACTAATTTTTTTCAAAAATCTTTTCATGGCCTTTTTAATTTCCTGATGTTTTACAACAGACTGTGCTTAAAGAAAAAATAATATATTTTAAAACTACATAAAATTTAAGTTTTGCAATTTTCAATAAAAAATTGAGACTTTGTCTAAAAAGAGACTAGCACCATACTTCTTAGTATCCCTTGACACATGAGAAAATTTAATGAATAAATTTGGCGCAGTTTAAAAAAATTGTTTAAATAATTGAATTGTTTTATTTTACGCAAAATTACAAGAAACCAACATACATTTCTATCTTCAATTTAATGTGGTGGTAGGAATGCACACAGGAAAGTGTACTATTGCAATTTTCGAAAAATTTAATCAACATGAAATGTGCCTCAATTTCTTGTGCGTCCTGTAGGCTACCCAAGGACAAAGTTTGATCAAAAAATTTAAAGCCATTTTTAAGAAAATTTTGAATATGTTTTTGAGGCTTCATCTGAGGCTCAAGACCTACTTCAGAACATAAATCAGTGATGGAAGCGTCGACTTTTTTGCGAGTGATGGGAAACCATCTATCAACACTAATTGAGATTTATCGATGATGTAGTGGTACATTATGGATATTTATTTCATGGGGAATATGTGATTTGTCAAAAACTCATAAACGAAAATCTTACGTTTAATTTGTTCTATTTTACATCTTGGAATGTTTTTCTTGATTTTCTTCTTCTCAATAGCAGTTTATTTTCAGAGATTTCGTGCGTTTAAGTGAACTATGTTATTTCTTCCAGTCTCTGCCAGTGTATTATGAATAAATCCATAATTATGCTTTTAAACAGGCTTAAAAGTCCAAAAAGTCGGTAGATGTATTTTACTTAATGCGTGCACTCTCCAACAAGTAGGAGCATTAATGTTGTTATTGTCATAGTTTTGTTTTCCATACAAGTTAAATATTTAACAATTATTGTTTTTTTCTTATTCATTACATTTTTGTGTGAACATATGCGGAAGCTGCTTAACCTGTTTGTTAAAAATGCTGTAATTTGCGCCCCATGCTTTCCAATTGGGTGTGTGTGTTGCCTAACCATAACATTGAGCGAGTGGTTTCTCTTCCAGAGCACTTCGCCAATTGCTCCGACGGGACGCGCGTGCACAAGCAGTACTGGTGCGACGACTGGCCGGAGTGCAGGGACAACCACGCCGACGAGCTCAACTGTGAGTCGCGCTGCTTCCGTCGCGAAGGCCCGTTGACGTGCGCCGCGCCCGAGTTCCCTTTGGCCGGAAAAAGTGGGCGTGGCCAGAATTGTAAACTCTCGTCACGATTCAGGAGAAAGTACCTTCGGGTGCAACGATTTTCACTCTCTGGTGTTAAAGATGAGAGTATAATTTCACATCTCCGTAATGATTTGATCTAATGGTGTGCATCAGAAATTGAAAATCCAGTTTCATATTATAATGCTAATTGGTCAAATAATCAATACGAACTTATTTTCCAAATTCAAAGGTTATTAATTCCAATAAACTTCATTGTCAGCAATAGTTTGTCAATCATTACTTTCTTTTGCGTCCTTCACAAGTTCTAACAAACATTAATAGCAATACAATTGGAAGTTATAAAAATATGTACTACTTAACTGTGTATGTATCGTTGCACGCTGTTCTGTATTGATGCCCTGTCATCAGTTAATTAATTAATTATTTATTCACAACCAAAAGTTATCTTTCATAATCACATAGTAATTCATTTTATCAAACTTTTTGTATTCATCTCTCCGTTCTTTTTCAACAAACAGTCCCTTGGTGACCTATTTTCCACGGCACCATGACATGTCCAAAGTAGAGAAACCCCATACATCACTATATAATTATATGTCTATAAAGGAGTTATGTGGTGGATCCAGATTCATCAATACTTTTTCATTCAATGAAAACAATTATCCATATTGTGCATTGCTTATCTGTATGGAGAGTGTCCTGTAGACAATGCAAAATAAAAAGATTAAATGTAATGTCTTAAATACTTCTCCCACTTGCACTCATTTTTGAAGTTGTTTTATTTTATCTTAGATTTATTTTGTGAATACTTTTGTGTATCAAGTAAACATTAGAAAACTCCAAATGAACAGAATTTCTCAGTGACGCATTCACTTCGTTCTGAGTTCACAATTTCCAGATGTTTCTCTTGCAAAATTAATTACAGTCGATTACTTCTAAAAGGACCCACTTTCAAGTTAATAGGCGTGTTAACAAATAGTTTCTTTTACCAACGTTGTCTGAAGAACGGTATTCGGGCTCCATGTAAGAATCTTCGCGCTCTTTTAAGCAGAAGTTCATTAAAGTAAATGTTTTTTTTTACTCTCTTCCAACGTTAAATTGTATGGGCAATGTTTTTTTCTAAAGCCTGTAAAGACGCAAAATGAAAATAAATGACTTGTGAAAGGAGAAAACTAGCCTATACTAAAAATTAATTCGGTAATATTCAAACTGAGCCCAAAAAGAAAAGCATAACACTCATATTAAGTAGTATTGGGCTCGGAGAGTACGCAAGTGATATCTGCACTTTATTGCATCTTCACCCTTGCTTTTACACTTACGAAAAATAATCATTATACCCAGCAAGTGAGTAACTTATAAAAAGTGTTAAGTCGCTATTCCATTTAAGTTATTGCAAAATGTGCACGCATTGATTTTGTAGAAAGCACGTAACATTAAAAACACTATTAATCGGTAAAATAACATTTTGTATCAACATTTTGTCGCCATATGCAAAATTAAAAGTTCACAATTGATATGTAAAGTATGTGTATTTTGGACTGGATGATTAATAAATGCAATTACCCTTGGATTGCAAAGGTAATAACTGTTCAGGATAGAAGTTAATTTTGATTTTTCAAAGAAACTAAAGCAAACTAATAGACTAATAAAAATATCAATGCAATATGTGCTATTATACAAGTGTTGAGTCTATTTTCAATTAAGTTCACATAATTGAATGGAATCTGTGATCAAATCATATTTTGAGATTCATTAGTTATATTTTCATTAATTTATCGGATATGAATGCAAGTGTTCTAATTTTTGAGTCACAGAAATCCACCCTGGTATTAGTATAAAACAGAGTGTCTTTGTTTTCTGCCGCTAGACTCGAAATGTTCTTGTGAAAGAGAGATCTAGAAGTTACTAATATACGCTGGTCGTTTGTTTGCCTGCGCGCCGCTTCGTGGACGCAGGTTCAGAATGCAACAAGGAAGACGACTTCCGGTGCCCAAACGGCCGCTGCATCAGGCTTGCCAACGTGTGCGACTCGCAATGCGACTGCGTGCCTCTGGGGCCAGACGGGCTTTGCGCGGACGAGATCAACTGCGAGGATTTCTACAAGAAAATTCATGGTAAGGTCGCGCAGAACACCCTACATTTCCCATCAACACATAACTCTTAGTACGGGGGAGTCTGAGAGATTTGACCACGTGCGAGGAGACATGAACGTATTGAAATACGGCAGAATTTCGCATTACGCCCTGAGGAAGGCCGCAGAATGGCGACCGAAACGTCAGCACCTTCGCCATGGACGCGGCGTCACCCGCACAGCCTAGTAAATACTGACTCCGGTCGCGGAAGCCTACGCTCTCGTATTGAAATACCTTTTGCGTCCGGGGTAGCCAAGAGATGCTGCGTTATAGGTAGAGTTACCAGGCTTCGCAGTGATGACTGCAATCTACTTTAGAGAGAACGCTACAGCTGGAGGGAGAAAGGCTGGATATAGGAAGTTGGCAACCATCCTTTGGAAGCAGCGTCGCACAGTCAGCATAAACGTCTTTGACACCGACCGAGAAAGCCTGCTCCTACTGTTGATATTTGTAGTTTAAATTTTCGGGGGTGCGGTGCCTACACATCTCTGAGCATCAGTGAACGCTGTCATTGAAGGCTTAGGTGAGAGTGGATCCGTATTGGGCCTAATTGACATTCGAGCGAATTCAGCCGCATTCGCCAGAAAATTTCGAACCTTTGCCATTTCAAACCTTACTAGAGCGCAGGCACCCTCGCATTGTGTCCGAAGGGAACGCTGACGAACACAGTCGAAACCTTAAGTCGGAACATTCAAACAAAAACTAATCAAAAAATTCAATTCAAGTCAAAACTATCAAATAAAATTAATTATACCAAATTCAATGCACTTCCCAAGACTTTAAAAAGTTTGTAAAAGACTCCTGCCTAAGTTATTGTGACTAACTCGAAATTGGATGTTTCCCAACTCGATTTAGTGAGACAATCTATTCTTGACCCAACTCTCCCCGGAAAACATTTTGAGAGGAGAGAAGAGGTTGTAATCACTAGACTAAGGATAGGTCATTTCAATCTCAATTTCTTCCATCTATTTTAGAGATTTGATCCAGAACCCTGTCCAATGTGTGGTGCAGCAGTCTCCACCTCCCACCTTATTCTTGAATGCCCTGCTACTAATACTATAAGAAAACTTCTAAAAAATGAAAGAACCCTACAGCCATTGCTCAGTTCCGCAGACGAGTGTGCCAAAATAATAAAATTCTTTGCAACTACAAAACTGTACAGCCGTATATATCTGCTTAATGAATTAGAACTGTAACTAGATTAAATCGTACCTATTGTGAAAAATGTGATTAAATTTATCATTTTTGTCCTTGTAATAATTATAACTTTTATGTTCAAATGTACAATTGTATAATTATGGGGTCGCTGATGACCTTAATGTTATAAAGTGAGCATAAATAAATAAATATTTTTAAAAAAATTAAAAAGTACGTTGTACTTCAATACATGTGGTTAAACTCTCTTGAACTTTCTCGGATCGAGCCATTTGGAAGGATGAAATGAATGTGTGTGTCTGATAATCATCGTGGAGAAGTAAAGGCTCATTCACAATGCAAACATAAACATAAGCATGGCGTTAGCATAAAAGTCCATAAGCGGACTCATTCACAATGCGTTCACATGAGCATAACCCGTAAGTCGTTAATTTAAAAGCTTGCAAGCTTCAAGCTTCTTTGCTTATGCTCAAGCAAGACATAAGAAATGAACCAATCACAGTACAATAATCAAAATCGAGAATCGAACTAGTGAAATCGATTGACTAGCTAACCAATGTGGGCCATGGACAGAGTCCATACCTCGAAATCGATTCCAACCAATAGTAAACCAGAATGTCTCACAGCCAATAGCTTATTTTTCTTACGTTTATGCCAGACATTGTGAATACTTCACTTACGTTAATGTTTACGTCACTGCGCTCTGCTTGCGTTTGAGTGCATTGCGAGTGGGCCTTGAGGTGGCGCGTGGCGCGGCGTGTGGCGTGCGCAGGGATCACGCTGTGCGAGGCGAAGCGCACGCTGACGTGCGCCGTGCCGAGGGACCGCGCGCACGCCCGCTGCATCCAGCCGCGCTTCCTGTGCGACGGGCGCAGCGACTGCCTCAACGGCCTCGACGCCTCGGACGAGCTGGGCTGCCGTGAGTGCCCCCCCCCCCGCCCACCCACCCCCTCAGACAGACGCTCCGGCCGAGATTCCGCAATGCAGCTGGGACTTTTAAGGGCGAAAGAATCCTTCGTGAAGTAAAAGTAAAGCTGACGGTCCCATGTTAGTAGATTTACTTGCACGTAAAAGATCCTCAAGCCTAAATGACGCCTCTGATCTAAATTCAAACCGCCGTAATTAAAATTCTGAGTTAAATTCAAACCGTAGCAAAATTTGCGTGGTCAGACAGATGAGCGGGCCTGATTGCCAGTGTCTCACCACGTAAAATATGACATCATTGAATTCAGTTCAATTCAGCTGTTGTCTGGAGGGGAACTCTAGCTCTGTTCGGTAGTTTTCTGTGGTTTGTCCCGTCAATATCAGGCGAATGCCGGAGCAGTTTCCTACCAAACGGGCCACGCACCGCGCGCGATCTTTCCTTCCCATTCCTGCGTCTGTCCTAACCCCTTTACTTACACTAACATGCACAACACTTCCCCATTGGGCGGGGGGCGTGGTGCTTGTTCCAGCTGGGGCGGTGCTCCGCTGGTGGGAGATACCTGAAGAGGGATCCACTGCAAGCCAACGCGACGTTCGCAGCCGGGTGGGGAAAGAATCACTACCACCTCCAGGGATGAAACATTCACAAAACTAACAAAACTAACGACCTTACCAGTTAACATGTCAGAAAACGTCAATTAATGAATCAATCTTAACCTCACAATCATCGTGTCATCTAAGTGCAATGTATACAACTAATGGCTAAGCATTTTTAACATACAATGATATTCCCAATCTTAATGGATAGAACGAAATTCCTGTTTTAGGTTGTTAGAAGCATTATATTATAGAAAGAAAGCGTGATTTACTCGGAAATATGCAAGGAGTGTAGTTGAATATCCTGGTACACACCATTTGACGGTATTCTAGATTACTTCGCTGAAAGGAATGCAAAATCAGAGGTCTCATAATAAGCGTTTAAAAGTTCTAGGGCATACGGATGATCGAACATTGTAATTCTGTTTGAAGAGTTAGTAAATTTCATATATCGTCACACGAGGTGAAACTGTGCCACATGCGATCAGCATATCCCACGCTCCATTTCTTGAGACAACGCATCCTATTGAAAGGTATCGGAAATTTGCTGTTTCTAACTTGCGCTAATATGAGTACCTAGCGTTCTGATCCTGAAGTCTTGCATTATAAAAGTTAATTTTCGCGCCATGTGCCGTGCAGAATGTTTGTGCTTAGTTAGTGTGGGATAGCTTCATCCAGTATTGTGATCTTTTTCTGTGTGCTACTGATATATAAACTTTCCTCGACACGGTCGGCATTCACTAAACCCAGCAAACAAAACAATGGATTATAGTTATACGTACAAGAACGTTTGTTTGCTTTATGTGAAGTTATCTTGACTAAACTTCAATGATTAAAAATATAGTAAAATGTTCGTGTAAGACATTTAAATACTAAATATAAATATTATACTAAATGTAATTTTGTAAAGATATCCTAATGTTCTAGCTGGAAGCTCAATTGACGGCAATTCAGTGCAATGCAGAGAAAATCGCACTCTTCCGTCAGTTATGCGCTGTGATTTTAAAAAAGACTGTCTGTTTGGAGAAGATGAAACCGAATGCAGGACGTCTGGTAAATATAGATGCCAATATTTGCTCCGTTGATTCTTGTATACTGTCACTTCATAAAATTCTAAAAAAATTAACACTAGATTTTCTATAATATAAAGTAGGATTACTTGTATTAATAAGAAGAAATAATGAGTGAAGATCAAAAGCATTAATAAATTGTATTAATACAATTGTAATTGTTATATATATATATATATATATATATATATATATATATATATATATATATATATATATGAAGGCAGCAAAGAATGTACTTTTTTTAAATAAAAACCCCTAAGTATTTTATAAAACGAAATGTTTAATTGATGCTGTTATGACAATGTACTTTCTATTCTCTTTTATTGACACTTTCTTGCAGTTCCTGTTTGTCCAGAAAACATGTTTCAATGTGACAATGGACAATGCATAGAGCCGTCTCTTCAGTGTGATTTACAGTTCGACTGCTGGGACAAAAGTGATGAATTGCACTGTGGTATGTTGATTTGGTATTAGTTGGTTTTTAATAATTGTGAGTATTTTACATTTATGTATTGTTTACAATTTTCAGAAAATTACAATTGTCCTGTTGATACAAAAAAGTGTATACATACACGGCAGTGTTTAAAAGTCGAGTTTTGGTGTGACTATCATGTAGACTGTCCAGATGGAACAGATGAGTTACATTGTGGTAAGTATGTATTAGTCGTATTTATTCTTTTTGCATGTACTAAAAATATTTTTTCAGAAAGTTATATCCACACTAGCGTACCCATGCCAGAACTCTCGCATGTTAAATTCTCTTCCTTATCTTTCTTTGTCCGTATTAAAAGCGGAAGTTGTTAATGAAACGTGTTAATTTTTTAATTAAAAAGGTAAATTCCAAAGTACTTACAGGATTAAAATAAAATAAAAGTAATGAATGGATGGTCAAAACAAATTTTGAAAAAGGATTAGTATTACAGACATATTCTAAGAACAATTCACAAAATTACCTTGAAAACATTGAAAGTAATTAGACAATTTTGTTGACATTTAGCCTTTTGCTTTTTTGATAGTCACAAAATAAATACAAAATATTTTTACTCTCGACAAAGCTACGTAAAGATGTCCATTCGAAAATGCAGGATCGGGCAAGCACAATCCTACTCTTTGGAATGTTATTTAACTTTATTATCGAACTGAGAGGTACACCCGTGGAATTAAATCGCCTAGAATACCAAATAATTACTTAATTTCACACAGTTGCAGATTCTGGACGTCTGTACAGGACGGGTAGTATCGAGGAGCGCCGGAGCAGCAAAATTTAATAAAAAGTCCAAGAATATCTTATCCTATAGAATATGGTATGAGGAACGTTGTTTTCAGGACTTTGACATCACAAATTCTTAGTTTTAAGGCCCTAACAATGATTTTTGGTGGTATTTAACTATAAACATTTTTACAATACTGTAGAATGTTGTGGATTGCATTTGACATTCTATATTTAGGTTCGATTTTTTCAACAAATTCTTCACATTTTTAAAGTTAACATGCAATTCTTCACGTCTCCGTGAAATTCTCTTTCGTTAGTGACCTCATTTATAAAGATTGGTTGCCCGTGAGAGTCGCAAAACGTATGTATACAAATGAAATAATATAGGATACGATTAATACAAAAATAGGTTTGTTAAATGTTTGATCTTTTACTTCCCTAGCGGTAGAAAATTTCATTAAGTCTCGTTTTTTTTTTCTTCCATAGCTTGAAAGATTTGCCAGTTCACCATTCAAAATTTATTTTATTATACTACAAATTTAATTAAATGGAAAGTTTTAGTTATCTTTATCAATCTTTCCCAAACTGTTGTTCAAAGGGAATGTACATATCACGTGATTCATGTATTTCTTTAGGTGACCTATGTGGACTTGGTAGACACGAAGTACAAAAGTAGAACTTAATTTCGCATCTCACACATCTCCAATTATCTCAGGGTTCTAAGAAATAGTGTATCTGATTGTAATCAGCCAGATGTCAATTACATTTAAAGGGTCCCATTTCAACTGCCTATTTAATATGATTATATTAGCATGGTCATTGATTTTATTAAAAACTAGTAGACCCGGTAATTCTTCGCTGTTACAATGTATTACACTTCACTCGCCACTGGTCACGTGCTTGTTAATCACTTTTTACACTATGCTCTGCAAACATTTCAATCGGTAAAATACTTTCTCGAGAGTATGGGTTTGTTCTATGTGGTGGTTTGGACATGGTTTTCGAGTATCCAATTGTTAAAACCTTCTCCCCCAAGTTTAGGCATGCATTCCTAACGACACTGTCTACAAGTAACTCGATTTATTTCTCCGACACAACGTTCAAGTATTTCACAAGCGCATAGAAAGAATGTACAGCAAAGACGCGCTGTAATACGGCGGGTGGCGTAGAGCTTGTTCTGGGGCGCTTGAGTCAGCATACACGCATACAAGCATCCTCAACGCGCGTCTATGTGCAACAGACATAAGCATTTCCCTTTGCAGCAAGTGTACATTCATTGCGCACGTGGAAGCAATAAGTTGACAAATGTTTATTTCCATCTGATGAGCGGCTCATAAAATAAGAGCAAACAAGAAAGATTGATTTTAAATATTAAATTAAATTCCACCACATACCTAAACTACTGATCCTACAATTTTGCACAAACTTTCTATCATTGTAACGGTTATGTAAAATTATTATACGTATATCGCAAATGATGTTCTACTTCTAATATTTCAGATACCATGTAAAAATATCAGTTCAAACTACTCGAAACAGCCTACTATGTCTATTATTTAGTATATTCTAAGAAAACTAATAGTTTTGTAAAATTGACATATTTCATGAATACATGTCTAATAATGTGTCATGAATCAACGCATAATCTATTTGAGTGCCGGAGAATTCGTTGCCAAAACAATATTTCTCGGAAGTTCCTAAAACTTTTAAAAAAAGTTCGTTGAAAATTAAAGTTAAATTTATTCAATAGATCCGTAACTTGCATAACTATTCAGACTAGGTTTCTTTAAAAGACACCATAAAAATAAAAATTCAATGTCACAATCGCAAAATTATAAAATTAATTCACGGGATTGATCAGTGTGCGTAAATAAACAATTTGTTGGGCCAACGTTTCGAAATATTTAATTTCTTCATCAGACTAGAGTATAAACAAAAGTGCATGAGGACAACAAACATTGCAATAAATTGTTTTTTAATTAGATAACACTAAAGAAACAACTATGACAATAAAACACTTGATATAGAAGGTTCACACCTTACTAATACTCATTAAGGTCAAGCTTCATTCCAACCACCACAACCCAACTCCACATGGAGTTGCTAAAACACGGGTGCCAATCGATGTCACTTCGTGTCATAGGGGCAAGGCCCTACACGCAAAAGAAGTAGGACTGGACTCTCAACTCCATGCGCATTTCAGTTTCAATCGAAGCCAGAATAAAAATGTTCCTTTAAATATTTTGTACGACAAGAGTACAATACACGAAAATTGAATGGTTTATTTCAGAAAGCCGTCAAACGCCCATACTCTGCTTTAGCGACGGCCCACGAAGATAGACACATCGTTTAGTGTTATATTTACATAAAAAAATGAACTCCTTAAATAAAAAAATATTTTGAAATCTGAAAAATTAGAAGACGTTCTCAGTTTTCTTCGAAAATGGGGAATTTGGCGTTGACGGGTTTCTGAAATAAAGAGGTTCAATTAATGACCATTCAATGAGAACACCATTTTCATTTAAACATTTTAATTTTCAAAAAAAAAATATGTGTTGTTTTCGAACTTCTGGCGCTTGTGTAGTTAGGACTTTCAGAATTGTTGACTGAAGTGTTGGATAGAAGTGGCAAAATTATATTTATCCATAGTCATTACCAATAATGCGATAAAGTATGTTCTGCTCTAACACCACTTGTTCAAGACTTCTCACAAAGACGTGAGGTTACAATCAACATTGCTTTGGCCTTTTTTAAATATTACATTTTTGAAAGATACTGAATAGTTCATAGACTACTTACTTTCTGTTGTTAAATAAAATATTAATATTTCAATAATTTTTTCCAGAAAGAAAAGAAAAGATGTGATGAAAATGAATTCACGTGCTCTAATGGCCAATGTATATCAGCATCTATGCGATGCTATATATCTGAAAAGTCAGAGAAGGCTGTGCTGATGGATCGCATTTACAAAATTGCTGTGAGTATTTGAAAAGGTGCTCCATATAAGCTACTGCAAAAATGTACATCCATTCATTTTTCAATATCCAAGGATGGCCTTTGGGTTTTCGAACCGTTACAAAATACAATTTCACGGTGTTTGGGTAAAGAGTCGAGTCATAAAAGTGAAGTGAAAAAAAGTGAAGATATTTTGTGTGGTCATTATATAGTATAGAATATTTTTTAAAGAAAGGAAATATTATATATATATATATATATATATATATATATATATATATATATATAACATACCCACCTACACCTCCAACTTACCACCTTCAGTAACACGCATGAACTGTAAGCGGGTTATCAAGATTTTGCTCGTGAAGCGAGCTTAAAAATCTAGGGAGCAGGATCTTCAGGGTGCGAGAAAGTTTGAACCCTTGACCAATAAAATCAACAGATTGCACACAAACGAGCGTATAATTTACCATAAACTTTTAGTGGCATAAGTTAATGACAAAAACAAGAATATAGAATCGCACTTTTACAAAGAATAATCAAAACACAAATAGAACACCTTTACAACACAGACTCATGTGAATGAACACATAATTTACTTCAAAATTGATACTCTGACATAATTACCCTAAACTACACTGGGAATTCCCTTGGAAATATTATTATATCTAATTTGTGCTACTCTATTACATTGCACGTGAAATCAAAAATTCACATTTACAATCTCTCGTTTCAAGATATTACATGTAAAGAACAAAATGTGTACCAAGTGCACTACTCTAATTTACAATGTTAGCTGTGTCTGAAAATAGCGAAATAATAAATGTCCTAAGTAGAATGTTTTTAGCCAGGCAATAGCGCATCAAAACCGTCTCCTACTAGAATACTGTGATTTGTTGCCACACGTGTCCTCAAATTCTTAACACTTTCCTATACTAGTTTTCCCTGCCGACGTGAACTTGACCTATTTTCTGCGGATCCTAACTGTTACCTCGTGGACTTTTGGCCTTGATGGTCGTGCGCTGGTCGCTGCGCTGACCGCCGTTCGGTCGCGCTCTGCGTCGTAAGAGAGGACGGGATTCGCCTCTGCGTCTGCGTTGCCTTCTTGCGTCTCTTCCGTTCTTCTCCCAACCGTTCCGTCTTCTTCCACTTGCGCCTGGATCCTCGGCCTCTTCTTCTCCTCGTCTGCTACCGGCGCCGCTCGACTACGCGCCACGTTGCAAAAAACGTCCCTTGCACTTTACGATAACTCGTGCAAGTTCCTCGCTCGTTGCTACTTCTACTTTTACAAGCCAGAACTTTTAATGTTTCCCTCACAACGGGTAACATTTACTTCCCGTGTTGTTAATTGAGAAACACTACTTAATCTTGCACTATCTCGCGGACGACTAACTAGAACTCTGTTCGACGCCGAATACTCCTACCTAGTAGTCGTTGCAACGGTAAACAATATCTAATGTTTAACAGAAAATGTTGACTCGTCGAACGGTATCAAAAGAGCAGCTGCTTACTCGACGCGTGGTGACCAGAAAAGAGAGCTTCCACTTGCGTGGTTCGCGTATTTATGGCGCGGCGCCTGGGGAAATATTTCGTGAAGGGGTTGCTACTTCCCCTCTCTTAACCCTTCACAAGGAAAACATTACTTGCAAGTTCGCATTCGGTAGTACGGCAACGGATACCAGGCCCGCGCGTTTAAGTACCTCTGCCTTACGCGTCTGTTATCCTCGCCTGTTATCCTATGTGTATATATAATAATATATATATATATATATATTATAATATAATATATATATATATTGTAACGTTTAGCTCAGTCGGGTCGCTGGTTCATTCCTATACTGAATGGGTGGAAGAGAAGGGAGGTTATGAAAATATCCATTGAATCATTTCATTCATTGGGAAAAAATTAATTTATTCCTGACAACATTAGCTGCCAGGGAAATTACACGTTGCAAGAGAACGACAAAGAATGCCTACCAATTTTACGCAATGAGAACATGGTTCTTATGGCTAGGAAGAAACATCTTAACTCTAACATTGGGGTTCTGTCTACAATAATCGATGCATTATTAAGTAATAAAAAACTGCCTGAGCTCGGCAACGCTGAAAATTTCGCTGGAATACCCAGCGAGGGAACCCCGTGACGTAATCAAGGGAGAGAGTTCATCTGCGGTTAAATACCGGATCATCACCGCTGGTTGTCGGCGCCTCCGCAGACCGGCAATGGCTGCCCTCGTCTCGTGATTCACCTTCGCTCTCGCGAGGGCTGACGGCGGGGCGGTGGTCAGGTCGCCGACTCCCCATTCGACCCTCCTCAGCTGGCGGCGCGTAGTGCGGCTCGGAGTCGTCGAAGGCGGGCGGGCTCAGAGTCAGCTCGAGAACACGGGCGCCGGGCGAGCGTCATGCGGTCTTGTGGGCCCGAGATGGCACTATTCGGGGAACGCAGTTTGACGCCTAGTCTGTGCGGGTCTTAGGTTCGGTGAAAAATCGCACTCGGTGGCAAAGTTCAGCCCTACGAGACGTAATTAACAATGTTCCTCACTCCACCGAGTCTTAGCTAAGAGCCAGGTGTTTTCGTCTACAAGTCCCGATCAGTAATGTAAAGTCTTGTAAAGCAATCTCTAGTGTATCTTTCGTGTGACCTGTCGCGTAATCTGTCGTGTTATGTTTTTCTCTACTCAGCTCCCGGCCGAGCTCGCCTCCGTTTCCCCTCCCGAAAACGTCTCAGGACCCGTAGCTTTGCCCCTTCTCTCACGGGGAGATGTCTCATAGGCCGAAACTATATTCGTTTCTGTATTTATGTATTTATATATACATATACATATACGAGTGACGAACGCGTGTTCCCACGACATACAAAACCTAACTAAATTGCAATTTTCTCAAAAACGGCTTCAATTATTTTTCTTCCAACGTTTTCGTAAGGATAGTACAAATTGAAGTATTTAAGACGACATAAGTCATTTTACAGTATTCGTTGTATTTTCAAAATTTACGAAATATATTTTTTAAATATCTCTCACGCCCTTAATATGCACTGTTGGCACATTGACCGCCAAATTGATTCACATTTGGCGCCACGTTTTGAACAGCGCAGTTTCGCTTATCTTTGAAGGTAATTAAGAAGAAAAGATGATCCATTTCAAACTTCCCGCCTTCCTTTACTTGACCAAATACTCATTTCTTTCGTACAAAGAAAATTCTTTGACGTCGATTGTCAACTGCTTCCTGTTAGTTCGAAGCGTCACCAAAAGATCGCATCAGCTCCTGGGCTGCCGCTACAAAATATGTGCCATTGTCATATTTCTCAGAAGCCAGCTCTTTCCACTTTAGACGCAACGGACTAGAATTGTCATGAAAGTCAGATGATCCGCAAGCAGTTTGCAGTGCACAGAAGCTAAGTAAAATGTGTTGGGCGCATTGAAAGTTCGATTCAGGATGCTGCCAGGCAATTCTAAGCACCTTTTTGCAAACTAACATGCAGTAAAACGTTTAATTTCGCCTGGACAGAGGTAACCATAATAATTTCTTTGATAGGCATTGATTCTTTCTTCAAATCTTTGTCAATGGTATCGTTTCTTTTCAAGAACAATCTCGAGTGATGAAAATTTGCGATAGAAAAGACGATGTTCGTTGCAGTTTCTGCTCATGCCCTCCAAATTTTTCTAAGCAATATTTCGCAGCTTCGACATGCACATTTCCAGCGATTTGTATAAATTATTGGATTTATGAGTAAAAGTGATTCAAATAACGTTCATTGAAGTTACGAAAAACTTAAAAATGTTCCACGTAAAAAAGTTTCAAAAGGCACATTTACACTAACACTTAAACGACATTTTCTTGAAAACTGCCACAAATGTTTCAACGAAACTTTTCACATACTGCGAGGTTTTACTCTTCTGTAATTGTCTTGAAGTATTATTACGGTTCTGCCTGTAGGAAATTGAAAAATTGTAAATATTTCAAAAAATACACTTTAGGTGGCGATAGATGGCATATCGCCAGAAGATAGGGCTGAACAGAAATTCATGTCCAGAATAAAGAAATCAGAGAACAAAGTAGTACGAGTAACTGTGTTTCATTCTGTAGAACTACTAGTTTAATATTACAATAATGTTAAAGCGTTTCACACTATTAGATGAGAAGCGAATGTAATTATTAATTATTTTAAAAGTTTAAACATTAAATATTTATTGCATTGATTAAAAACAAGCGCGGTTCCTCGTGTGTGTTTTCCGTGAGCTAAACAGAGAAGCCTGTGCGAAACGTGTAACGATTCGCAATTGTCTTTCCTCTTGACGACGGCTAAGTTTATTATTTATGAACAATAGGTTTACGACACTGTCTGAAACCCATTTACTTTTGTACGAGGTATTTCTAGTTATTGGTTGTTTAATTTATATTATTTTACTTCTCGCAGTGCGCATTTCGCTCACGGCGTGTTAGAAAATAGTATACGCAACACGGGAGCAACGTTATTCCCGTGAAAAATTTTGTATCAAACATATGCAATTTTAATTTTATTTAAACTGTTTTCTTAAAAACAGCACGACGTGTTTTGCATTAAATTCGGAACTTAGATAACATAAAGAACGTTTAAGAGAATGTATCAGTTATCATGTTGAATGAAATGCGTGAATTTGCGAATATTTTTAAAAAATATGTGAATTCCCACAACTACAATTGTGAAGATACATTTTTTCCTAATGGAATGTGTTCATAAAAAACAGATCTACAAATAAGATCATGTTAAATGTTTCGAAAAAAAGTATTTTTGTGCAGTTTCGGACAAATATAGTAGCTCGCTGGAATTGAATGCGTTTTCGGCGTCTTCTTACGAGTACAATAGTGTAAACACAATTTTTTCTTAACGAAATGTGTTTATTAAAAATAGATCTTCAAAGAAGGTCATGTTCATATTTTGAAAATGTGAGTTTTCTGTAAAGTGGCGAGAAAAGTATATTGCCCGCTGCGTTTTAAGTCCTCATATAAAAGAAAATGAAACATTTAAGAATAAATTTAAAGTATCTTTGAGGCATGGACAAAAATAATTGTATGTATTCGAAACAAGGAATAGTGTTCCATGAAAACGTCTTCGAAGAAGTTTCATAAAACCACAACACTGCAAATTGAAAGAAAGTTCTACTTATGGCAAAAACTGCAATTTCTGCAAGAACTGATAAGAAAATGTGTCCATTGTGGCAGCGCCCATTGCTGGCGCCCACTGCTGCATTCATTTGTTGGCAGAGCTCATCGACTGAGATGTGTTGATATAAACAAATTGCCGTATAATATTACTACGTAACAGTTACTAAGGGGCGAGAAAGTATGTGCTGAGCCATTATGGTTCGGTGAGATGGGGCATTATCATCCATACAAATTCCATCGTTGTTTGGGAACATCAAGTCCGTTAATGGCTGCAAATGGTCTCTAAGTAGCAGAACATAACCATTTCTTGTCAATGTTCGGTTCAGTTGACCCAAAGGGCACATCCCATTCCATGTAAAAACAGCCGACACATTATGAAGCCATCGCCAGCTTGCACAGAGCCTTGTTGACAACTTGAGTGTACGGCTTCGAGGGCTCTGCGGCGCACTCGACCCTTCCTCTCGGCTCTCACCGCCTGAGCGCTGTCGTGCTGTTACGCTCTCGTGCAAAGGCATTACATTCGTTTTTTAATCTAAGCAGCACATTAAATCCAAATTTCGCCGCACTGTTCGCAATTGCTACATTTGTCGTACGTCCCACATTGATTTCTGCGGTTCACGAAGTATTGCTTGTCTGTTAGCACGGACAATTCTACATAAACCCCGCTGCTGTCATTAAGTGAGGGCTGCCTGCCACTGACTTGTCGGTGGTGAGGTGTTGTGCCTGAAATTAGGTATTTTCGGCACACTTTTGGCACTGTGGATTTCGGAATATTGAATTCCCGAACGATTTGCAAAATGGAATGTCTAATGCGACTTGCTCCAACTAGCGTTCCGCGTTCAATGTCTGTTAATTTGCATCGTGCAAACATAATAACGTCGGCAACCTTTTCACATGCGTTGCTTGAGTACAAATGAAAGCTCTGCAATGTAAGCAATACTACTGTCATCTGTATATTTTTATATTGCCATCCCATGAGTTTTATCTCCTCAGTGAATATTTCCAAATGAGTTCATGGAAGACCACTGCATCACTATTACGGTTATGTAATTAGGTATATTTATTATTTCTGCAGGTAGATTTATGTAACCTGGTGGCAGAACTCTACAATTAACACGTTACAATTAGGAATATTAATACAATGTAATTTTAAGTCATTATAATATAATAATAATACGATAATAATAAAGATAACAATAGCAATAACTCTACATTTTATGATTGTCCTGAACAGATATTTAACTAATAAATATACTACACTATTTAATAAAGCAATGCATTTAATAGTATTTACAACAATACCAATAATAACAATAACTAATAGTAAAATAATAACTATTTTAATAAGCCTAACTTACTAATTAATAAATTTTATAAATATCCTTAATATATTTTTAAGTTTTGCACATCTAGAGGAAAGGGTTCCATGGTTGTCGCAGGCAAATTATTCCAATCCGTTATTGTTCTATTTGTGAAGGAAAATTTTCCAACTTCTGTTCGCTGTGGCCTGAACCGAACTTTGTATTTGTGATCCCCCCTACTAAAGTAAGTGGGTCTATTGAGTCTGATGAAAATATCTTTCCAGCCTGGATAATCGGCATACGCTTTGTACAGGGCACAGAGTCTTGCCTTAACCCTCCTGATATCTAGAGACTCTCAGGTACTTACATGAAATATCATCTGCCGACTACCGATAGAATGTATTCAAACTATTTTGATCCGTTAATAAATAAACTTAAAATACGTATTTAAATTATATTGATCTTGAACTTAGGCATTTTATTGTATAGTTATTCTTGATATTATGATTTCATCGTTTCCTTTTTTCAGCACTTTGGGTTTGCAATCCAGGAACCTTTAAATGTCGAAATGGTCCTTGCCTAAATACAAGTCTCGTCTGCGACGAAAAAATTGATTGTCCTGACACATGGTCTGATGAAGATGGTTGTGGTAAGTGTTATTTTCTCAGAAGTTTCTTATCTAGCTCTCTATTATTTTGTATTCCTATTGAATTGTATAATGTGTATGTACTCAGTTTATGTAGTGAGTCATAAGTAGGGAAAATTCGTGACGTAACTGTTGGTTGGTGCCCAAAAGAATTTCCCGTATTCGTTTTCGTGAATGGGCTTGTAAGGCTTGCTCAAGCATTGCAAGAAGCATTTATGAAACACGTAACAATTTTTTTTTTAATTTGTAAGAAAGAAAAAACAAAATGTTCATTAAATACCAACAATGATTGTGAATACAAGAAAGAAGAAAATGTTGAGCAATAAGTCTTACTAACATTATGCATTTTCTTTTCTTTTGGTCTTCAATGAAAGCTCACTTTCATATTGTAATGAATGCTGAACTCGCAATATTTTCTTAAACTTACTGCAATAATCATAGCACGTTAGACGCCTTATTAGTACAATCGCTTTACTATTGGTACAGTCCCTACAATTACTACATCCATATTTTAAACACAAAAAGGGAAAAACTCTTTATGTTCCTATCAGCCCCTTCCAATTCCTTTGTTCAATGGAGGCCCCTAACAGATGAAATGAGCGTTCTCCGCTCTGGAGCGATCTCATGCTTTGTGGGGGCTCTGCCAAAATATGTAGGTTTCCCTAATCGACTTTGGATTTCTTTCCACGCTCGAAGGCCTGTGTAAGCTTGAGAGCGTAGGCTTCCGCGGCCGGAGTCAGTATTTACTAGGCTGTCAGGGTGACGCCGCGTCCATGGCGAAGGTGCCGACGTTTCTGTTGCAATTCTGCGGGCAATGCATTACGCCCTGAGGAAGGTCGCAGAATGGCGACCGAAACGTCGGCACCTTCGCCATGGACGCGGCGTCACCCGGACAGCCTAGTAAATACTGTGTACGCTTTATACATTGCATAGAGACGTGACTTTAATCTCCTCCTTTCGAGTAACTCCCATATACTTTATTCTTGGTACCCCTGAAAGTAAATTTTGATGCTTTATGCTGAACCTTTTGTAGATTCCTTTGGTGCAAAATTCTGTATGGATCCCAACATACCGCGCCATATTCTAATATGGTCGCACTAATGACATATATGCTAGTTTTTTTGGCTCTCACTGTATTCTTTTTTCAGTATCCGCATAACAAAATGTAAAGTTTTTCAGGCCCTACAACGAAATTTTCTTTATTTTCCCAGCTCAATTTACTGTCCAGCTTTATTCCTAGGTATTGGCAAGACGTGACTCGAGGTATAACATTTTTGTTCAGTTTGTACGCAGGTTCATTGTAACTTCGACCCCTACAAAACGTGATAGACTTGCTCTTTGAACTGTTTATTTCCATGCCGTTATTTTCTGCTCAGATGTGTAATTTGTCTAAGCCTTGCTGCAAAATATCCGCGCCCTTCTCCGAGTTGATAATCCTGTAAATTACTTATTCATATGCAGAGTCGTACATTTGAAGCTAAATTAGTCGGCAATTCATTCATAAAGGCCAGAAACATGAGTGGTCCGATGACACTTCCTTGTAAAATTCCTGATGTGACGTTCCTCGAGGTTGATAAGTAACTATCGATTCGAACTTTCTGTTTCCTGTTTCGGAGTAGTTCGTTTATCCACGCTACCACTCTAGTGTGTATACCCGAATCTATTAATTTATTTATATGACGATCGTGTAGAACAACATCAAAAGCTTTGGCAAAATCTATTACTATCGCGTCGACTTTTTTCCCTTCATCAACTACTTCGGCTAGGTCTTGTAGAAGTGAGACTAGCTGACTTTCGCATGAGAAAGCATTTCTGAAACCGTGCTGACCCTGATAAGGCCACTCCCTGCCCTGCCATTCTTTCCTGATATAGCTTGAAATTAGATGTTCCGTACGTTTGCATATGACTGGTGTAAGGCTTACCGGCCTATAGTTGTATTGTCTTGTCGCCCCCTTTTAAAAATAGGTACTGCGAGAACCAGCTTCCAATCTTCCGGTACGCAAGCGTTGTTTATTTGTACATTTAATAACCTAATTAAATATGGTAGAATAGGCTCTTCACCTAATTTAATGTCCGTGGAAATACAATCTGGCCCTCGTGATTTTCCTGTCTTCATTAATTTTAGTCTTTTCCGCAAAGTATTTACATCAGTATGAAAAATACAATACTTCTATCTGCCAGCGTTGCTTGTTATAACAATATATCTTCTATTGTTTTGCAGAATTATTTTCCATGTAGTTAAATTCAAGATATTTAAGTTCAAACTAGTGGTGCTACAGAATGGCGCAGACTTTCTCGTACTAGTCAGTTTCCTAATTTTTGCCGGGTCTAGCTTTTTGGTCGTGCTTCATCCTCTTCCCAGCTACCAAGTATTGCCGCCCAAACATTTTTTTTCATATTTTGACAATTTTTAGGTTTCTTAACGGCAGAAACGAAAATAAAATACTTTGAGATTATAATAGAAGAGTAAACCTCGTCATATATGGAAATTGTTGCTGAACAAATTGAAGCCGTTTTTTGAGAAAATGGCGTTTGAAAGTTTCTGACAAAGCGGAAATTTGTGCTCCTTTCACAGACAAAATTGGAATTTTCAAGAAAGCTAATAAGACATCATTAAATCACATGTTCTCATAAATGAAACAATGTAAAGAAAATGCCGCTAATGTATATTTTAACGCCGGGGGAGAGAAGTGAAGAAAATTACATTTTTGTCATTTTTGAAAAAACGAAAGCGTAGAGCAATAGGGCACTTATGTCTTCATAGAGTGAATTTAGCACAATCGCTACCAAAAGTTTAAAAGTTAAAAAACTTATTTTATTAATCAAACTCTTTTATGAATCCGTAAACGACAAACAAACAATGTGTTTTTGCATACGTCCCATATTATTTAAAAACAACATACTGATTATCCTTTTCTAGTAGGTGCCGCACCCCACAATATATTATTGGCGAATGGCAGACGGCTTTAGGTGGCATTATCTTGCCTCAAAATGAACACCACACAAAGCGAGCTTAACCTGTATCGCACCTAACAAGTTGACATCGAGGTTATTAACGAGAAAACTATTTTAATTACCACGATGGTGTGAAACTGGGCTGTTGTGTTTACAACAATAACCTGTTGTATTCTAAATGCCTCCGTCCTCACCTCTTCAGTTAACGTTTTACAAGAAATGACAACTTTGCAGAGTTTCAAGGGAAGGAGCGGCCTTCTCAACCGTCGCTGGGAACAAACTCAGGATCGGAAAAAATGCCCTTATTCTCTTCGCAGTCAATAACCCCTGATAAAAAATAATAACTTTTCATGTACTTGAAGTAAAAGTTATATTTGCGAATCAACAGAATGTTCCCGCAACAGCATATGCATATGTGTATTTCCGCACTCTTTTTTAACGCCTATTTAATTCACGTGCACCTGTATTGCCACTCATCGCACGTTACTATCCGTTGGCCTCTCTCTTAGGGTAAAGAGCACTTTAAGGTCAAATATAGCCAAATTATTGTTCACGAAACTACTCATACACATCCAGAATCAATCCGCAAATGATACTTTCTCCGCTTCCGCGTATATCGTGTTACTTTCTGTATAACCAACAATTAATTTGCTGAAATACCTTCCTCGAGGTTTCGCCAAACTTCCAATACTCTGAAGTCGCTACTAATTGCGTAATAAAACCATAATTTTACGTTAATGCTTTCGGCTTACATTCAGGCGTTCATTCTCGCGCTAACCGGGTTCAGTCTGTTCTAACCAAATTTGCGCCCTTGGTAACCGACGCTCCGTCTCACCACACGTTTTTACCACACGTTCATACGACTCGTTCATACGACTCGTTCATACGACTCTATTTATAATCTCATATCGTAACAACGACTTCTCGATCGTTGTTGGGAGCGCACTCAGGGAGGATAAAGCAAGTGGGGGAGAAGGGGGTTTTCCGTCAGTCGAATTGAATTTTATGCGGCTCTCTACTAGCAGATTGTCAGCGCCTTTCTGGCGTAAATTTTCTTTTCGCTCAAATAACATATTCCCAGCCCTTTCCGCATTACTCTATTTATTATCGTAATTCCGATTTCATTTAAATAATTTGATCCTTGTTTTGAAGGAAATCTTTTATTTTAATTTTTTTTACTTCATGGCGTAATGCTGTTATCGCACTTTTTGAACATTTTAATATGATTTAAAATATTAAATTACAAATGCAGTAGTTGTTTTTCATTCCTCGCGCTATACTAACAATAGGCTTTGTCCACAAAGCCGTCCATTGAAAAATAGTCGCTGTGACTGAAAACAATATGACTTTGTTTACTTTAATAACGAAAATGTAAATAGGCGAAGCGTATATAATGACACAGTGTTTACCATTACAGTGCAAATCGTGAAATCCCCTTACACAAATGCACGCTCTGCGCACGAATATACAAATAAGGACGATGATAATCGTTTTATGGTAATGAACGCCACCGAGCCAACTCCAAACGTGTTCGTATTTCCACGATTCTATTTCTACCAGTCTCATGTTAGATGGAGGTCCTAGCACTCTGTGTTGATAGACGATGGTAAAAGACGCATGCAGAAAGCAAGATTTATCAGACCGTCAACAAACAGAAATGACAATTTCACGGAAACCTTTATTGTAGCAGATACAGCACATGTTGCTCTAATTTTCCATATACTACCAGAATTTCCACATTTGTCTTTCCGTGGGATCAACTTTTGTATCTATGTTGTACGAGTCTGACGCCTGGAAGAGTTTTTAATGTTAGACAGCCATCTGCAACTCTACGTTACTGTGACACGGGCAACTGGTAATACTTCAGTTTAAAAGAAAATTATAATCGCACTAAAAAATATTTGCAGTTTTTTTTTGTTTTTTTTTTGGTTATTTAAGGTTGCGTTAACATCTAGGTCATTAGCGACCACTACTGCATTTATCGGTATGGTACCTGTGATATGGTGATAATAGGGGGTGAAAGGGTGAACACAATATAACCATTCCCG